ATCTGGAGTAAAAGAAAAAAAGAGTAAAAGTAAATCAGTTTAACTAGACCAACTGTATGTTTTCTGTTTGCAAGGAAGCCTAAAAGAAATGGACAGGTATCTAAAGGCATGGGAACCACCAAAATTAAACCAAGAAGAGATTAACAGCTTAAACAGACCCATAACACAAAAAGAAATTGAAACAGTAATACAAAACCTCCCGACTAAAAAAAGCCCAGGACCAGATGGTTCTGACTATGGCCTTAAACACCCAAAAGGAAAGTATAACCAAAGATTAAAGGGGCCAATATAATTTCATAAGAGTCCATATGTATTGCTAAAGGCTACATAACAAGCAACAATGCCAGACAGGTGATAACTTCTTTTGAGTTGGCCAGGGTGGCCAAAGGGATTCCCAAATAGTAACCCAGGATAGAACTGGGAAATTGAACAGCAGACCCCAATCTTATCCAAAGGAATATTGACAACTGATTACCACTAGATGAGGAACAGCTGACCCTCCTAAAACAAAGACCTCTAGATAGGCTGACTAGATTCACCAGAAGGGCAAGTGGTGGGGAATTGCTGGGGGTGCCAACAACACAGCAGACAGTAGCAGGGATATCAGAGTATAAGGGCTTTAGTGAGGGGAGGGAGGCTATGGGAGGCTGCTACCTGGAAAGTGGGTGTATAAATTTAAAAAAATTCTTCAAAGCATAAAAATTTGCTCCTTAATAATTGGTAGATGTGAAGGGCATTACCATTGAAATCTACCTGATGACTTTATATCCATGCTCAGATGCCAAGGAGCTCAGAAAGTAACTGACTGTGACTAGTAATAAACAGATATATAGAGATTAGAAACGCATGTGCGTCTTAGTGTCAATTGTATTAAAAATGAATTTTTCTGTATAAAACTGTGTATTTTAATAATGAAATGGAGATCTTTTTTTAAGTTTTAAAAAAAAGAACAACAAATGATACCAAATGCTGGAGAGGACGTGGGGAAAGGGGAATGCTCACCCACTGTTGGTGGGATTGCAAACTTGTGTAAGTGCAACCCCGATGGAAAGCAGTGTGGAGAACTCTTAAAAAACTAAAAATGAACCTACATTTGACCCAGTTATACCACTCCTTGGCATACACCCAAAGGACTCACCCTATTGTAGAGACACTTGTGCAACCATGTTTGGTGCCACTCTTTCCACAATAGCTAAGAGATGGAACCAACTTAAGTGTCCCTCAGCTTACAAGGAGATAAAGAAAGGGCGGTACATTTATATGATAGAGTTCTACTCAGTGGTAAACAAAGACAAAATCTTGAAATTCGCAGGTAAATGGATAGGATCAGAAAATGTTATACTAAGTGAAGTAACATAGACTCAGAAAAACAAATGATGTATGTTCTCCTTCATATGTGGATCCTAGCACCAAATCCTTATATGTGAGTATGTATCCTGATTGTAACTGCAAGAACCAGAATAATGACAGGATATTTAAATGACAGGGGAGGAAGAGTTATATAAGGAACTTTGGAGATAAAGGGAAAAAAGGAGCTCAAGAGATGTGGGACAATAGGAGACTGGTATTATCAAGGGAGAAATGGGGACACTTTAAATGGAGAATACAAAGAGGAAGGGTTAGACAGGGAGAGAGAGGGGAGAGATAAATAATGTCCAAGTAGTATAAAAAACCAGAGGAATCATATTAGTCCAAGAACCCTATGACGAATTACACATACAATATCTCCACGAGTCCATGTGTATAGCTGAAGTCTATATAACAAGAAACAGTGCCAGCAGGAGAAACATTCCTTTGAGTTGTTGGCCAGGGTGGTTTAAGAGACTCCCAAAATTGCACAGGCTATTGCCACAGCCCTTGATTGCCTCCCAGAACTTGAAAGCAAGGCCCTATTGCTGAAGACAGAACATACTTCAGACACAGGATTTGGAACAATGGAGCTGTAACTGACCTGGAAGCCTCCTCCATAAAGACTAACTCTCATAATTTTGGAGGACAATGTGTAAACTGCTAAGGGAGAAAGTCAATCGGTGGTCCAACCCCAGTTTTAAGGCCTAAAAACCACATCAATGACCAGCACAGATAGCTGTATTTGGGCAGTAGTGGTGCTTTTGTCTTGGGTGTAATCAATGGCTACCTAACTGGACTAAAAACCCACTCAACGGGAGGAAACAAACATGTGGTACCGTAAACCTAGCCAAATACACATGACTGGAGAGGTAACAGATCTTAGAGAAAACTCCAAGACTGTCACATCCCTAAACTAATGTAATTTCTTACTATGTGCAAAGTATGCATTCTTATATTTAAGGCAAACATCCCACTCATCAAAGAAGCTTCTTTTGTACCAGACGGAGTCAATTACAGAGTACCATAACTGGTCACACACAAACATTGTCTGTGACTTTCCCAAGCCTAAGTGGTGCATCTACAGAGCAACTTCTATACCTGAGGATCATGAAACATGGAACAAGGGGTACAGAAGACACTAATAAATATCTCAGCTCTTATTAATGAAGCTCCTTCATGTGACAGAGGGCCAGGAACACAAAAGGTCACAAATAGCCAAAGTGCAAGAGATTAAGAGTCTGCAGGATACTGGTCATTGTACAGGATGCCTATATTAAACTTCACCCACTCAGAGCTTCTGGGACTTTGCTTGAACCAACAGCATTGGTGCCAGCATGTACAAAACCCATTCAAACTCAAGAAGACAAAAACCCAGCATAGAACTAGGGAAGTGGGCAGCAGACCCCAATCTTAGATGAAGAAATATTGGCAACTGATTACTACTGGGGGAAGAAGAGCTGATCTTCCTAAAGTTTGGGACTCTAGACAGATGGACTAAAGCTCAGTATATGAATTTGTGCTGAGGATCATCTGGGGGCACTAACTTGATACAATAGACCTTAACACAAATGACAGAATATATGAATTTCAGTCGGGGGGTGGCTCTGGGTGGGTGCAAGTGGGGAAGGGAGCATAAAGAGAATTAAGATTGACTGAGATGTTCTGTATGAAATACATAAAAATTCAATAAAAATTTTAAAAGATACATATGTATGAAAATGCCATGATGAAACCCAAAGCTTTGTATGCTCACCTAAAAATTTAAGACACCACATACTTTTTATTGTAAGACATAGACACTAATCTGGAACTGACAGAAAAGCTTCTTCCTTGTTGGCTAGCTTTCATAGTGCTGGAAGGTCCCACACAGTATGTAGGGAGAAGAGACATCAATGTTCTTACCCAGTGCTAGACTCTAGTATGCTACAATACCAACCTGCCAGGCAAGACGCACCCATTGGTGCAATAGTGGCATGACTGTTATTGGGATAACCAAGTGCTTTCTGATTGGATTTAATGCCTGCTCCTTAGGAGGGAATTCATACTTCCTAAATCTGATAAAAGCCCCTACATGGAGAGGTCATAGACCCTAATAGAGAACATAATGTTGTTTTGCTACATGGACATATTGTTAAACTGCCTTCTAAATATTTATGTTTATATCCATAGATTAATGCTGTCTCAACCTTGGTCAGAGTAGCTCTTTTTGCTGTGGACAGTGGTTAATGCAGAGACGCATGAGGAAACCAAGTGCTGAGAATCATTGTGGGTCCTCATCCCTATATGTGACACTCATATAGAACCCTCCATCAAGTGTCAAAGAACATTGCAGAAGAGGAGAGGGAAAGAATATAAGATACAGGAGGTGGGGAGAAGTGCTGTGAAATGCTGTGTTCTGGCCATGGTGTGGTTTTTGTACTAATGAACCCATAGTACCTATGGTTACCTACATAAGACCTGCATAAGATCAAGTCAGTCAAAATTCCGACATGGGTGGGGAAGGGGCTCACAAGTCCTCACCTCTTGCTGAGGAGTTCCTGGCAACTGATGGCTCTGTGAGAGGAAGAGTCATTTTGCTAGTTGTCCATGTGCCAGTGGATAGCCCCATATCCATGTGTATATGGACAGCAATCATGGGACTCAATGTGACTTGAAGTTAGGATGGGGATCTGCAGGGAGGACTGAGTTTGGAGTGGGGAAATAAGGGGTGGACATGATCAAAACACATTTTATACATGTATGAAATTCTCAAAGAAAAAATAAAACTATTAAAAATCAAAGTCAAAAGATGTCAAGGGTCATTGAGAATATTAAGGGATCCCTTTTACCTTGTTGATGGAAATGGAAAAGAGTAGAGGCTCTTCAAAAATTAAAAATAGGACTACCATATACCATTGTTGGGTATATATAGAGAAATAAAATCCCATATCAGAGAACATTGTTTTCAATAGCTAATGTATGAAAGCAACCTAATGTATGAAAGTAGATGGAATATTGGTAAACCTTCACAAAGAAGAAAATCCTTCCATTTCTGACAATGTGAACAAGCTGGGAGGATACTATGTTCTGTGAAACAAGTTAGACCCTGAAAGACAAATACTGCATGATCTCACTTATAAGTGGAACCCAAAAAAGTAGAAAGCACAGAAACGGAAAGTAGAATGGAGGTTGTTGGAAGTTGGAAGCAGGTAAGGAAATGTGGGTCAAAGGGTACAGTTTTGCAGTTAGATGAATAAATTCTGGAGACAAAAGAAAGAAAGAGTAAGAAAGTTCTATTCTAAATGGACAGTGATGGTTGGCCAACCTCACTCACACCTTCATTCACGGAAGCCACCAACATGCAGCCTGTGCCAGGATCAGGATGAGTCTTGCTGGATGACCCAACAGTGGCTCTGGTGAGTGTCTCCAAGCAACCAGGCCTGCCTCTGCAGCCCTGGCCTCCTGCACCTATTGGCCATGTGAGCTAGCCCTGGGAGCAGCTGTCAGAGCTGTTTGCACCACCTCCCACAGCATGCTGGGGGTAGCTCTGGTGCCACCTTGTCTGCGGAAAGCCATAAGCCCATCCATCTGGGTGGCCACGCTCACAGCCAGCTGCCTGGGCCTTGTTGGACCCTTACTGACACCTGCAGGTTCAGGTGCCAGTGCCTGAGATGCACCCACTCTGGAGGCTCCTGGTCTTCCTCCTGAGATTGCTCGTCTTGCCCTTGGTCCTGCACAAGCAGCCCTTGTCTGGTCTGCTGGTCAAGGCCCACAGGGACAACAAGTCTACCCTGGCAAGAAGTGAGCTCAACCCTGGGCTTGGTCTGCTGTCCATAGCATGTCGGGAAGGCATAGCCTGGACCTTACCACTGACTGCTAAGCCACCTTTGGGTTAGTCTCTCACATCTTTCTTTTCTTCCTTCTTTCCTTCCTTCCTTCCTTCCTTCCTTCCTTCCTTCCTTCCTTCCTTCCTTCCTTCCTTCCTTCCTCTCTCTCTTCCTTCCTTCCTTCCTTCCTTCCTTCCTTCCTTCCTTCCTTCCTTCCTTCCTTCCTTCCTTCCTTCCTTCCTTCCTTCCTTCCTTCCTTCCTTCCTTCCTTCCTTCCTTCCTTCCTTCCTTCCTTCCTTCCTTCCTTCCTTCCTTCCTTCCTTCCTTCCTTCCTTCCTTCCTTCCTTCCTTCCTTCCTTCCTTCCTCTCTCTCGCTCCTCTCTCTCTTTCTTCCTATCTGTTTTTTTGAGACAGTATCTTCCCCAGCTGGCCTGGAACTCTCTATGTAGACCAGGTTGACCTAAGTCTCACAGAAATCCGCCTGTCTCTGACTCCCAAGCTCTGGGATTAAAGGCATGTGCCACCACCCCTGGCTTTCCTTTTTTTCTCTTGGATTTCAAGAGGAGAAAATTGAGAATGAGTTAAACTTATGCCGATTGATAGCACATTGTCGCTTGCGTGAATCATGTAAGGTCCCTGTTTTATGTCATTTTCTGTCTCCCTAATCCTCATTCCCATTCTCTTATAGCCCTGATAGGCACTGCCTTGTACTTTATATGTGTATAATTTTATCTGTATCCCCTGGAAGAGGTTTTGATTTGCATACATCATACTGTCAGGTTGCATGCTCTGGTTTTCTCTTTCTTGATTATACCGCTAACATCTTGGTTGCTTCAGCTGGTGTAAAGAAGTTTTTAAATCTTCATTTGATTGGCTGTACCCTAGGGACAGACACCTAGGTTGTCTCTATCTTTCCCACTGTTGTAAACAACACTGAGACAAACATCCTTGGGCATAGCCCTATTAGAACATGCAGGAGAATTCCTCTGGCATGTGCCCAGAGAAGATGTAAGCTCGATTTAATGAAAGCTTCTGGGATCCTCTCTCAATGGCTGTGTTGATGCATACTCACTCAGGTTATAAGTGAGAATATCGGTCTCCCATGTTCCCTACCACTGGAGGGTATAAGTCTGTGTCAGTCAGTCTATGCTGTCAAAGCAAGATGCCCTAGACAGGGTGCGGGTGGGGTGGGGGCAGTGGAGCCTAAACAGCACATATTTTCTCACAGATCTGGAAGCTGTAAGTTCAGGTTTAAGGTGTGGCAGTTTGGTGTTTGGAGCAGCCTCTCCTGCTGGCTCTCAGATGGCTGCCTTCTCCATGTGTCCTCTCACGGCCTTCCCGAAGACATTCTGATACTGCTTCCTCTTCTTATAAGGACAACAGTCCTGTCAGGTTAAGGCTGACCCTGTGATCTCTTTAAGCTTTGTTACCCATTTGAAGGCACTGTCTCAAATACTGTCCCATTAGTGGGAGACGGGGAGACAGTCCCACATTTCTGGTGTGTAGCACCATCTTTCTAACATTGGTGATATCTGATGCCTCAGTTTATCTTTATCTGATGCAAAGGAAGTTGGAGCATCTCATCCTGCCTGTTAGCTGTTATGTCTTTGAATTCCTTATTCTTTTTTTTAACTTAAAAAAACTTTATTGAGAATTTCATACACACATTTAAGGTGGTTTGATCAAATCCACGCCCACTCCCTCCCCTCCAACACCTCCCATATCTCCCCATTACTTTTTTTCTGACAACTTCGTGTATTCTTTCTTCTTCCCCTTTTGATCTGTTTACTTTTCTGGTCTGTGTACAGGAGATTAACTTACGGCCTTATGCATTCTGGGCAAGTAAGAGTCACTATATCCCTGACAGCTTATCACTTTTGTCACATAGAGCAGAGTCCACCACACTTACCAGAATCAATGGCAGCACTGCCGTGTTCCTATTGAGCCTGTTCAAAATGGAACTTAGTAGATTAGCCAAGAAACTGGCTATTTTTCTTTGGGGTCTTTTAACCCTAACTGCCTAGCCAATTCCTACCTCCTATTCTTATCACACCATCCTCTGAAGAGGTTACCCAAATTGCTAGTAGGGAATTGGGATGCAGACCACTTTGGCTTCTTGTTGAACAGGGGCTCAGGGTGAGGCAATTGGGGGTACCCCTTCAGTGGGTCTATCTAAAAGACTCCCAAATTGCATAACTATTATCTCTAGGGAGAAAAGAAAGTCCTTGACTAGTGAATAGGAGATGTGAAGGAGAAGTAAAGGCAAGAGTAGGTAGCAAATACCAAATGTTCATATCAGAGTCCATTGGGATTTCTTGATGAAAGCCTCCAAAAGCATCCCTCTGTTGGGTTCCTCCTCATTTTCCTTTTGTCTTCCAAGGCTGGACTTGAGAGTGATGGGTTCAGGATTTGTTTTCAACACTTTCAGCTGTGGGAGTGGTTAGAATCAGTGTCAGTTCCCTCTCAAAATCTTCTAGATGGGGGGAGAAAGCAAATTTATCCATCATTTTAGAACAGAAGTGGGTTGTCTCCCTTAACTATAGGTGGCACTACAGTATTGGAGACCAAGATTTGAAGTCTTACATCTGATCGGCACTTTCTGCTTAGAAACAAAATCATCAATGAGAAATAATTTTCTAAATAACGTTCTATATGGACTTAAGCCTAATGTCTGGGAAGTGTAAGCCCTTGAACTCCTAAAGAAATATATTGATCACTTTAATCTTTGGCTATACTTTCCTTTTGGGTGTTTAAGACCATACATTGGCCCAAATAAACCAATTTATTTTCACTCTTCAGGTCATTGGAGGATCTGTTCCTCAGGGGTCATGTAAGCTTGAGAGGAGCCCCTGGCTCATTTCTTTTACCAGTTCCATCAATGTGAAGATAAGTCAAAGGTCCTGCTCAACCGTGGCTGGCTTCACTTGGAAGCATGGAGGAAATGTTTTCTCTGAGTTGACCCTCCTCTTTGTAGACTGGACACTGGTTCAAGTCCATCTTGTGGGGTCTTAATGGCCTCCCTGAACAAGAGGACAGGTGACTCACCACAGTTACAGGACATTTTTAGAGATGTTCCATAGTCCGCTGGAACTTAGTCGACCTTGGAGGGCAAGGAGCAAAAACTGTCCTTTAAGTCTGACCAGACTAGTATAGGCCTCCAAGTATGGCTGTTAAATATCCAAGAAGGTTAGTTCCACCAGTCTGGTGTTTTTAATTACCATGTGCTGTGTAGATACTTCTTGGGCAAAAACCCAACATTCTCAGATAAACTTTGACTAGACATATATTTTTCCCCTTAAACTAGTTGGCTAAACTATGACCTTAGAAATTTTAAGATTATGTGTATATTATTTTTGTCTCATCCTTTATATATCATAACAAACTTATACAGACATTCATCACTTGCTTAGGCTTTCTCATTTTTTCTGTCTAGTTTGTAAAATATCTCTATTCCCATATCCTTTTAACATCTTTTACATTCTTATTTTCTTTTTAAAATAATTATGAGACATAATAACACTAACAAATAAATTTTCCATCAGTTGTGAGACTTCTCTTCCTTGGGATGCCAAGCAATGCTGATCCCCATTTAAGGTTCTAGTGTCAAGCCAATGTTTGATTAAAGTTTTCCTGGGGAACCAATGACTATACTGAGCTTTTACAGGGGTGACTGAGGGGTGCTGAGGTGTATGAGTGACCTGGGGGTATGCACACTGGAAAGCCTTTACCCATCATCGATCAAGCTTTCTCTTCCTAGCTTTCCCCAGATTATATACTTTAGTCCTTGCCAAATCCAGGAGACCATATGCGATTAGAACCAATTACATACAGTTGCCTGGGAAGAGAAGCTGGATATTCCAGTGAGGGGCCAATGACCCTGCTTGCCCCTCTTTATTCTTATTGTTGGTTCCTTTTTCTCTTTGCTTTTCTGGGTTGTTTTTGTTTTCTCTTCTTTGACTTTTGAAAAAATCAATGTTCATTTTTTTGATATCTCTATTACTTTAATAGCTAACATTCATGGATAAATGCATCCATACAGATTTATCATATGATACATATTCAATACATACAGATCTTTGCATGTGAAATATGCTTCAATGAAATTGGTTAGTGATAAATGGAAGAATGGCTAATGATTCTTAAGCTACCTGAGCGTGTACACAGATTTATTCTGGGCATCAGATTTTCTCTAGCAATACTGGAATTTTTATGTCTTCCAGGAATTGTGTTCCTGTGTGACCAGCCCTAGTGTTAATTTCACACTGAGTTTATAACATGCTTTCTACATAGGCAATATTTTAAACATATAGCCACAACTTGTTGCTGGTATAGATTAACTGTATTAATGTCACTCTCTAGGGAGGACCCTTGGAAGCTTACACCCGCATTTGTGTAGACTTTGCCCATCTGCCCTCACCCTGAGATGATTTCCATTCATAGTCTTTGCCATCATACAAGGAATCATGCTCATGAACACAGCTATATGCTAAGCTCAAGACAAGGGAACCTGAGGTAGGGTCTCAGAGACCTCACACTTACAACCAGTCTTGAAATCCGTCTCTTTCTGGACACAAAAAATGTTCATTTATTATGAACATTAGTTCCCTGTCAGGTGTGTGTGTCTGTGTGTGTGTGTGTGTGTGTGTGTGTGTATCACTGCATGCACATGTGGAGGCAACAGGAGGACAGGCAAAATCCCCCTTTATCATTTTCTAACTTATTCTTTTGAGACAGGATCTCTCACTAAGCCTGCAGCTTTCTGGATTTTTGGCCAGACTAATTGGTCAGCAAGCCCTCAGTGAGCCTCCTGATTCCATCTCTCATCCTCCATCCAGTGCTGGGGTCAAGTGAGCAGCCACGGTACGCTTTTTATGCAGGTTCTGAGCATCCTAACTCAGTTTCTCATGCTTGTGCAGCAATTGCTCTTACCCATAGAGCTATCTCCCCAGCCCTGTAAGATACAACTGTCCCTCAGTATCCATGGGGATTAGTTCCAGGCTAGATTCTAGAATCTGCGGATACTCAAGTCCCTTATATAAAATGCTGCAGTATTTTCATAGAATCTGTGCATACCCTCCCTTGTAATTTACTTTGTTATTATTATTATTTACTTTTTGGATTTTTGTTGTTTGTTTTTTTGACAAGGTCTCCCTCATTATGAGTGGACCAGGTTGGCCTCAGTCTTGCAGAGATCCACCTGCCTCTGCCTCCTGAGGGCTGCAATTAAAGGTGTGAGCCACCAAGCCCGGTGTCCTCCCTCATGATTTAAGTTACTCATACCTAATGCAATGCCAATGTTATGTCAATAACATTATAATATCATTATTCTGCGAGCAATGGTAAGAAAGTCTGTACATATTCAGAACATGGATAATTTTTTCACAAATTTTCTGATTTATGGTTGATTGAATCTACAGGTGGGAAACCTACGGATACAAACGACCGGCTGTACTCTTCCCAGACGGCTTCTATTAGCTTTGTTTGCTGAAAAAGAATAGGTGGCTTTCTTTCTTTCTTTCTTTCTTTCTTTCTTTCTTTCTTTCTTTCTTTCTTTCTTTCTTTCTTTCTTTCTTTCTCTCTCTCTCTCTCTCTCTCTCTCTCTCTCTCTCTTTCTTTCATTTTCTTTTTGGGACAGGGTCTCCCTATAGCCCCAGCTGGCCTGGAATTCACTATGTAGACCAGGCTGGCCTTGAACTCACAGAATCTGCCTGCCTCTGCCTCCCAATTGCTGGAACTAAAGGTGTGTGTCACCGTACCTGGCTAAATAGGAATAGTTTTGAACTCATCAGGATCTCATCATATAGTTTGTGCTTGGAGTCTTGAGTTTTTGACCTATCCCAGACATATTCTGTTTGTCTTTTTTGACAACTTTCTAATTTTACTGTCCACATTGGAGGTGTTAATCCACCTGGGGGCATCTCTGTAAGCATCTGCGTATACAAAGTAAGGATCAGCTTTACTTCTAGCCCTATGAGTCAGTTTCCCATCCCATCCACTAAATGACCAAGTTTCCAGCATGAGGACTCTCTCCTACATGCTACATCAATTTTTCTATGTGCTAGTGCTTTAAGCACTACATTTATATCAAATCCTGCTTTAGTTCATAGACTTCTATTCCTCCAAATAAATTTTAGAGTGTGTTGAGTTCCTCTCAAAGAATTCATCTGACACTTAGAGTTACATCATATTTGTCTGTATATTTAGAGAAAATAGACACATTCACAACATGAGAACCAGCCATTCCATTATGAAAAACAGTATATTATTTGTTCAATTTTACTTTATATTCTATAATAGAATTTTAAAAGTCTTATAAAACTTTTGAGCATACTTTTTCAAGTTGATTCCCAGAGAACGTATAGCTTTTGCTGTAGAGTAACTTTTTCATTATACTGTCTAGTTGATGTTGGAATGGTTGAGAGGAAAACCATTGATTGGCTTGTTTGTTTGTTTGTTTGTTTGTTTGTTTGTTTTAGGACAAGGTCTCCCTGTCACCCCAGCTAGCCTGGAACTCTCTGTGTAGACCAGGCTGACCTCGATCTCAGAGATCCACCTGTATTGCCATGCCAGGTGAAAACTATTGATTTTTGAAAATTAATCTGATATCCAGAAATTTTGCTCCTGTACCTCCTGTACTTCTAACAATCTTAATTTTTGTTTTATTCATTGTCTTGAGGATCATATCATCTGCATGCCGACATGGTTTCTTTTGCTCCCTCCTGCTTCCTGTGTTTTTCTTACGTTGTAAGCAGGGCTGTCTAAAGGAATAGAAAGGCATCTAGAAGTCTCCACTAAATTGGGCATCTTTCCATGGGTATGGAAGTTGAGGTAGTTTTTATTGCATTTGGGGGAAATAGTGTGTGTGTGTGTGTGTGTTTGCCATTTTGGTTAGGATGACTGTCCACTGAACTCTTGGATTTAAGTAAGCATGGATAATACAGTTGTCCCTCGATATCATGGGTATTATTCCCAGGCCCCCACTTGGATCCCAGAATCTGTGGATACTCAAGTCCCTTGTATACAGTGATGGGACTTTGAATGTCCTTTGCTAAACAGGAATATGTTGCTTGTTTGTTTATTTATTTTTGGGGTACAGGGTCTCAGTATGCAGTCCTGGCTGGTCTGGAACTTGGTATGCACACCAGGCTGACATTGAATTCACTTTGTGAGTTCACCCTCCCAATGCTGGAGTTATAGGCACTTTTTTTAGGTGCTGGAGATTCAAACTCAGGTTCTTAGGCTTGCAGAGTAAGTGCTCTTACTCAGTAAGCCATGGCCCCAGGCCCTTGGAAGATGTCATTTTATTGTATTGCTTTTATTGAGTTCTTAGTTTTATGAATTTTTCTTAATCATAAGTCAGTATTGGCCTTTAACAAGTGATTTTCTTTTTTAAAAATTATTTTTTATTATGCATATGAATGCTTTGCCCACATGTATGTAAGTGTACCCCTGTGTGCAATGCCCATGGAGGCCAGAAGAAGGTGTTAGATCCCCTGGAACTGGAGTTATGGATGGTTGTTAGCCACCATGTGGGTGCTGGAAACTGAACTTGGGTCCTCTGCAAGAGCAGCCAGTGTTCTTAACCACTGAGCCATCTTTCCATCCCCAACAAGTGATTTTCTGCATCTAAAAGTTAATATTTTTTTCTCTAAGCCATTAAATGTATTAATAGACTTTTTGCTGTTGAACCATCTGAATGTTTGTGGAATGAATTACAATGTGTTATTGGATTTTGTTAACTAATAAATTATTTAGAATTTTAGCAAATTTTTCTTTTTTAGCATAGAAATCCATTACTAAAATATTTAATTTCTCTAGTTCTAACTAGGATATAATTTATGCATATTTGTGGGATGGTGTTTGATAATCCCATGTACCTATATACTGAAGCAATTAGAGCAGCACACATCCATCTTCTCCCACATTAATGGTTTCTATATGTTGAGAACTTTCATACTCTTCTGGTTATTAACCAGAACATCTATATTATATGTATATACATATATATCAATATCTGTCACTGTTGTAAGCAACAGTTACCCCACTGCACTACAGAAAGCCAGATGTAACTCTTCCCTCTGTGTTTCATTGTGCCTCATCTAACTTCTTTCCACACACATGGCCCCCATCCTCCCTGACCTTGCCAGTCTGTAGCTAGGATTTTAACACATTTTTCATATATAAGTTAACTTGGAACTTCCTTTCCTTTCATTGTCCTGAAGGCTAGACAGGTTATACTCCCTCCACTGAATGAATTTGCTCTCTTTCTCTCTCTCTCTGTCTCTCTCTCTCAAGTTGGAAACACTCTTTCCATACAACTGTCTATAACCATCTAGGCAAGAAACTTCTGTGGAATTAGATGTTCAACCATATTTCCTACTTCTTAAGAAACACCTTAGAATTTATCAGTTTCTTCCTTTAGGAACGCTTTCCATTTTTCCTCATGGAAACTTGGCATTTTATGATTTGCCTGTGTATCTAGTTCAAGTTATCGAATATATTGGCATGTAGCTGTGGACTCAGGCATCTGTATGGTGGTGCAGTTAGAATGCTGCTTCATGATGCTGCCTCCAAGCTTAAATGAAGGACAGTATGTGAACGAGCCATGTCAACTGCGGGTGTGGTTACCACTATAGCTACCTCCCAAGCATCCATTGGGGTACTTGGATGCAGCATGGCTGCTGTCTGCTTCATTTGGCTTTATCAGTCTTGCAGTGCCAACTTTCACAGATAAAGGGTGTGGATCTCCATGGGAGACATGAGGACATGACTCAGTGGGCTCAACAGAAAGAGGGTGCACTGGGCTCATACCAGATCTCCTACCTCCAACCCCCCACCTTTTCACAGCAGTGTGCAATCCCTTGTCCATCTCCAGTTATTGCACACGGCCTCCTGAAGCACAATGCCGAGGGCCGAATCCAGAACATGTACCTCCTGGATCATCTGAATGTTTCTGGGCAGGCAGCCCCAGGGATGGTGGGCTGGTTGATTGGTGGAATGAACTTCCAACAGCAGCAAGAGATCAGGTGAGACCCTGAACCCCATTCCTGACTCTGGCGAACTCTAGGGAGTGCTGGATCAGAGTGCAGAGCTGGGAGGGTGGGGTGTAAGGCTTGTGAAGAGGGAAGGAAGGCAGATTGAAAGCAGACAAGGGACAAGGCCTGCAGTGAGATGGAGCCTGGGCCAACATCAGGGGCTGTTTGGGGAGGTAGCAGAACAGGGCAATTAACAGTAACAGCTCAGGAACAAATATGTCTGCATTTAAATCACGCCTTTGACACCAACTTTGGGGAAATTTCTTGGCTATTCAAAACTCATCTATAAAGCAGGTACCCAGAACATAGCCTGGATAAACATCTGGGATGTCAGATGAGACCAGGACTGCAGTAGACACTTGAATCCCCACTCACATGGTGTGTAGATGGTAGCTCTGGAGCTCTGTGCAGTGCATGGGAGTGCACTGGGCACCAAACTTGAGTCCTCACCAAGGAAACGAACATAATTATCTTGTTGCCAGAGATGCTGGGAGGTCTGAGAGTCTGCACGTAACTTCTCTGTGTACATAGGGGATACATAACCCTTAATAGCTGGGGTTCATGTGGCAGAATGGGCCTGTCTTGCCAACATCCAGTGCAGCTCTGCTTCCATGGATGAAAGCAGCCCTTTCTACTTCCCAGGTCTCCATTCTGCCCAGGCACTACTGTTCTACCTGCAGCCTCCAGCTCCTTCCTTTGACTTGAAACCTTCATTCTCTCTATCTGAATTAGCAACTAAAGTCACCAGCAGGGTTTTCCTGTGATGTGTGCAGCCCAAATAATTTTTTATTCATTCCTTTAACAAATGTTCAATTACTCATCAAGCACCTACTGTGTACCAGGACCTGGGCCAAATTACACAACAGAATTACAGAATAGAGCTATGAACAAGATCTGTGGCCATTGCCTTTTGGGATCTTGTATCATCTTTAGTGAGATAGTCCCACGGAGAATAATAACCAATTTCAAGTGGAAGGACGTGCTAGAAAGACAAACTTAGCAAGGTAAGGAATGAGAACAAGAGGGCTGATCAGGACCTTTCTAGAAAGATGACCCTTGAATAAAGAGAAGTCAGCAAGCAGCACGGAGGATATGGAAGAGATGGCCAAGGAGAAGGCTGTAAGTGCAAAGGCCCTGAGGTAGGAGAGAGAGCAATGTGTTTGAAGAGAGAATTTCCCTGTGATTGGCTGAGCAAAGGGCAGGGGGTAGTGATGGGGTTACTAAGGCAAGTCTTGGGGTCTTATTCCAAGAATAAGGAGGAACTAGGGGGGAGGGGGAGTGTGAAGGCCATCCAGGCTGCCTCATGAAGAATAGTTTGTAGAGGTCAAGATGACAGCAGGGGCCCCAGGAAAGAACAGAAGCATCTTCAGGAAGTGGTGATGTGACCAAGACCAAGTATGAGCCAGAGAGGTGGTCAAGCTCCAGACATACACTGCAAGCAAACCAACATGATTTGTGGGTAGAATGTGGGGTGTGGGTAGGGAGAAGTCAACAAGTTCCTCGCAGACAGGTGATGGGGACATCTGCTGAGAGGGGAGCCTCTGTCTGAGAAGAGTCTGGGACTGCCGCCTGTCAACAGCTGGCTCTAGGCTGTATAATTCACATTAGTGAGGAATTTTTTTGGAGAGCTGGCAGTCCCTGGCTCTTGTGCCTACACCAGCCATCAGAGCCTCCACATCAAGCTGATTTGCAACTCTCACTGCTGGACCTCTTTGCCATGCAGACTGGCCTTATTTCTCAGCATGGGGTCTTGTCCAGCTGCCCTCCCTCACCATTGTGGGAACTCTGCTCTTTTCATATGTAGCATCAATATCACCAATGTGCAACTGGACTGTGATGGAATCCAGATGGCTTCCCCCAAGGAGTGGTTCTCAGCAAACATCACACTTGAATTTGACATTGAATTCAGACTGTGAGTCTTACCCAGGGAAGCCTCATCTTGAGGCGCTATCCTTCTTTCTGGGGACTTGGAAGCTAGGAGTGGGATGGGGGTGTAAGACTAGGAAATCTAGATCTTTCTTATCCAAACCAGAGTTCAAATCCTGGCTCGCACTCTCATTCACTGTGACTTAGGGCAAGTTGCTTCTCTCTGAATTTTTGATTGGGGCAGGGATGATACTCATTAGTGGAGGGAGTCATTTATTCAACCTGAGTTCAGTAGCTGGGCCCCATGAAAGAAAGGAGGGGGAGCCATTTTGACCTCCTTCTCTCCCTCTACTTGCTCTCCTCCAGCCCAAATGTCCTCCATCATCCACTGCCCCTAGAAGGGAGCCAGGATCCACAGTTACATAAGGGAAAAAAAAAACCTTAAAATAGAAATGAGATCTCAACTCTTGAATTTCTAAAGGCTCTTAAATTGATCTCCTTAAACAATTTTTGAAAGTTATTCTATGGCTAGGGGAATGTAGCTCAGTGGTTAAACCTACTCTTAGCATGCAGAAACTTTGAGTTCCATTCTCAGCACCAAAAAGAAAAACTGACCAATAGCTTTTTTCTCCTTAATCACTGATTTAGGGTCTAGCTGGACCTGGGTTGAAAAGACAGTAGGTGGTGCCTGACTTTTGTCACCCTTCCTGATGGCTGCCCACCTCCCTCCACTCAGTCCCTTTCCTTTCTCTTACTCCTTTTGTACTGCAGACCCTTCAATGAAAACACCATCAAGATGCATGCACGCATGGGCCTTGCTGCAGAGTCCTGGCTGGAGAAAGATGAGTTTGGTCGGAGGGACCTGGTGATGGGCAGATGCCACATGGAGTCTGGCTGTGAGGGTGCATCCATGTCCACTGAGTAAGGCCCTTTGTCCTCCCAGGGTGGTTCCACTTGATGGGCATCTGTGGCTTCACATCCCCACATGTCCTCATGATGAGTCCAATGCATATTTCATCCCTTTACCAGAATGTGGCTCCTCCCATGTCCCCAAGGATTCAGGCCATGCCACTCTCCTGGAAGTCAGGCCCTTCTTTCCTATGGTCCCTGACTTGCACCTCAGCTATTGACTCCATTCTCCACCCCACTTCAGAAGTAACTTTCTAATGCAGAAGTCTAGACCTGCACCCAAGTTCCTGCTTCAAAGCCTTTGAGGCAAAGAAGGGAGTCAGCAATGTTACTCAAGGCTCTCTGTCTTTTTTCCATACCTGGTTGTGCAGTCCTTCAACCTCCAAACAGCCCTGTGTTTGTACATGATGATCCTTTTGCCAAAATGCCTTCTTGCCTCTCTAAGCACCCCATGAAGCCATTCACTTATGTATGTACTAAGATCTAGGTGTCAGGCACCATGCTTAACGCTAAGGATGAGCAAGACAGAGAGGAGAGCTTCATGAAGCTTGAGACCCGTCTGGCTATCAGCCTCAATAGACCATGAGTTCCTTGAGGGCCGGAGTTGTGCTGATTTATCTCTCTGACTCTCAAATGCTGAACTGCTGACCTTCGTGGATGTCTATATGTTTGTGCATCAAGTGTTTGATGATGGCAGACATTGACAGTGTAGGGGAAGACCGTGAACTCTGGTGCTCTTCTGTCATGTTCCTGACAGAATCAGGGCTTCCTTGCAGTGTGACCTTGACCATGTCGCATCACCTTTCTGAGTCCCCATTGACTATTATTGACACAAATATTGGCCAAGCAAGGATTCAGAATGGAAAATGTGTTTGGCACATGCCTCCTGGCATCAGTATGGCCTGAACTGATTCGTTGTCTCACATATACCCGCCTCTTTCCTAGGGAAATCTCACCTAAGATAAAACATTTCCTCCACAATCTCAAAGAAAACCTGGGGAAAGTTATCCCAAACCCAGTGGAAAATCAGGTAAGCTTAAGGAAACTTTCTCCCAGGGGTGTCTTTGAGTCTGAGGGTCAAGGCATACATATGGGAAATTTAGCAAAGGACTTCAAATATTAGGTTTTAGAACCTGAAAACAAATCTCAATTGCCATCAAATTTGTTCCCATGGCCAAGGGATGGCCTCTCTGAGCATTAGTGTTCTCACCAGTGCTATCGAGGTCCCTATCTTGGAATTGAAGGGATTTAGGAAACAGAGCATAAGTATGCTAGTGTGTAGCTGGTACTCAAGATGGAGCCTGTGTTGGCTGATCCTTCTGGAATCTACTCGTGCTGGCTTTCCCAGATTCGTATACCTTAGTTTTTTTTCCCAGCCCTGGCTTACCCTGTCTCTTTTCTGGGGACCTAGGTATGTCCTCTGATTGGTGAGATTCTCCGGCAGCTGGATGTGAAGCTGTTGAAAGGACTTGTGGGTGAGTGTTGGGGTCCAACCTGGGAGGTCTCCTTGGGATTGGCAGCACTGAGGGAGGGACTGCAGCCATGTGCTATGAGAGCACATTACAGATGACCCTGTTTCACTGGCTGTTATAGTCCCTGAAGAGAGCTGGGAGAGTAGAGCGGCCCACTGCCGTGCAGGCTATGCTCTACCAAGCCACCAAACCAGAGATTCTAACTTTGCCCAAGAGCTTCACCAGTCCTGTAGGGAGTACTGGCCCTGCCCAAACCCAGGAACATGCCTGCTACAGAGACAGGCAAGCAGTTTCAGCCCCTACCCTGGTGAAACTCATAGTCTTGGGACTAGGGGACAGGATGTGAGTCAAGAGATGTCATTCAGAGCAAGTGATGACCAGTCTTTGCAGGCTAGACAGAAGAGTGCTCCCCTTCTGTGTGGACCCAAGGACTGGAAAGTTCACCCAGGACCTAAGAATACCCTTCTTCTTTCAGATCAGTTAGCTGCTCATAAATTTGGTCAACTCTGAATCCAGTCAAGCCACAGGTGCCAGGCTTCTGCTGTTGGTCAGAAAGAGGTGCTGCCAGTTGAGACTTTAAGTCTCCTTCGATGTGGGGCTTCTGATGTCCCTGAAAACTTGACCTTAGGCCCTAGGAAATCCTGTCCTCTCCAACAATAAACTCTAGCTCTGAAGGATATACCAGTCCCCTCTGCTTGACCCTTTAGTAATACCAGAGAAAGCCCACTTCGTCGTGTCTTTTGCAGTTACCTGTGACTTTGCTTATTGCTGGGAGGGCCCCATTTGTTCATTTATGTTTAGAGAGCATCTACTGTGTTCCAGGTCTGCTGCTGGGCTTCCTGAGGGTGTAGAGAAAGTGCAATAGAGTGATAACACGAAAGAGATGTGGCCTCAGATAAGACAGATTAGGCTCTATGAAGGCATGACTCTATAAGTGGCTGGTCTTTCCATTCCTGACACGGAATTGATATAGGGGGTGACCCCAGCAAAGCTTCAGGGTGAAATGAGTGGGTGACCCTGGTCTGATCACTCACTACCTCTGTCTTAGACAAAACACATCACACTTTGGTCTTTGTCACACCTGCAAAATGAAAATACAAATTCTGCAGGACACAGAATTTGGCACACTATTTCAGGAAAGCTGTGACATCCACTGAAGCTGAGCATTCGCCTGCTCAGCAGGTTTACCATGATCTGTGCATTCAGCAGAAATCTACCAGAAGAGGCTGGAGGGATGGTTCAGTGTTTAAGAGCACTTGATGCTCTTCTAGAGGGTCTGAGTTGGCGCCCAGCACTCACGTCAGGTAGGTTGTAACTGCCTGCACCTTCAGCTTTAGGGGATCCACTGCTCTCTTCTGGCTTCTATGGACACATGACAGATACACATACAAATAAATTAAACATAATAAAATAAATCTTTAAAAACTGAAATATACCAAGAAGACCAGGGTGTCCTGGCAGTGATGTTCACAATGGCCCCAAAGTAACAGTGTTCTTGAATGCCTCAAGAGAAGGAATAGATGTATGAGAAGGCCAGAGAGTCACCCACAGGAGTACCCAATAGTAATGAAAACGACTTCACACAGCCACATAGATGAATCTTCCAAAGATGCTTAAAAGAAGCCCAACCTGCAGAGCATGTGTTACAGCTCCAGTGTTAAGAAGCTCAAAACCAGCAAAGCTAATGCACGCTGCTGGAGATCAAGATAATTACAACAGGGTGCGGCTTAGCAGCAGGGAGGGACTTCTAGGGAACTGGTCATGGTCTATTTCAGTGCTGGCTGTAGGGAAGGGTGTTCAGTTCACTAAAACACAGTTATTCATGCATATGCCTTTTGCTGAGGTATAATTTTCAATAATTTTTTAAAAGAAAGAAGATATTTATCATGCAGCATGTGTATGAGGAGTTCATGAAAGGTGAGTGGAAAGTGTTTTTTTCTGTGCCATTTAATTCATTGTTAGTTATTCGGCCACTGGCTGCTCAGTGTCTGAATAGTGAGTCCCATCCTAATTCGCCGGTTTGAGGATCAATATCACACACATATTAAGAATAGTAGCAGGGACTAGAAAGATTGCTCGGTGGTTAAGAGTACTTGCTGCTTTTCCAGAGGACCTGAGTTTGGTTTCCAGCACCCATGGTCAGGCTAGTTCACAACTACCTGAAACTCCAGCTCCAGGGGATTTGATGTCCTCTCCTGGCCTCCTCAGGCACCCTAGACACAGAAATAAAAATAAAAATGTCACATACACATGTTTAGCAAGTGCTTTGCTTGGAGCTCACATTCAATGTCTCATTAAATGCCTCACATCAACTCCGTGAACTATAAAGCTGTTACCCATTTTATACATTAGACTTCTGAGACTCAGAGATAGAAAGTGACTTGCCTAAAGTCACACAGAGAGGAATTGATTGTGTAGACCCCATCAACCTGGTCAACCTCACTCAGCCAGTCAAATTCCAGAGTTTACAGGCAACCACTAGGACACTTTCCCAAGGTCTTCCTTCCCTCCCTCTCTTCTAACAAGCCCCCTGCCAGCCCTCTCTCTCGCCCAAGGGGAATATGATGAAATCCAGGTTCAGTTGATTGACAAGCTCAAATAAGGAAGTGTCAACAGCTCAGAGATGAGAAGAGGGCCAGACAGTTTTTTTGTCTCCATCTTTCAATTCAGACTCCTTAATCTGAAATGCTTCACTGGGGATTTGCAACCCTAAACACTGTTCCCAAACATTCCACTTGATCGCCTTTAGTTTACAGGGTTCTTCCTGCTCTTGAGTCAAAGAGCAAACACAGGGGGGCTGGGCCAGGAGGCTGCCAGGTCCCCTAATGGAGGGGAGCTTTTGTCTTCCTCCTGTTGCCTCCCAGGCCGGCTCCAGGGCCCCATCAAGATGCCTCTTTGGTGTTCTCGAATTTTGTTTTCATTTTAAGGTTCACTGATCACATTTGCTTCTGAAGAACTTGTTGAATGATGGACCTTTCTGGAGCTATTGGGGTCCACAGTGAGGGGTGGCTAAAACAGAAATTCAGCCCCACATGTTCAGAACCCTTGTTCAGGCCCTGCCCCTGGGTGCCTCAAGCCTTCCCTGCTCTTTGGTTACAATGCAGACTCTCAATCAGCTATTCAGCAGGGCTGTGATGCTTTTCCCCCAATTTTTATGTATATTTCAATTGAATTTTTGTGCATTTTGTACAATAAATGTTAATCATATTTAGACCCCTTCTCCACCTGTACCCTCCATAGGCACCCCCCTCTGGATTTCTTCCATTCTGTCATATATATTAAAGCCTAGCCACTCAAGCTTTTGTAACCAGATGTCCCCCAGTGTTTTAACCCTTTCATAGCCCCAGGAGGTTGGTGTGGTTGGTGCTGTTTTAAGTGAGGAAACCTAGCTCAAAGAGAGAAAACATTGAAAATGTTCTAGAAATTTGATGTACCTTGGCATTTTAAAGTCTGCTAAGGGAGTACACCTAAGTTTGTGTTCTTATCACAATAAAAAATTTAAAATTTCATAACGAAGAGCAACGTGGAAGAGGAAGAGGAGGAGGAAGAGGAGGAGCAAAGCATCCTGCCCAGAGTCACTCAGCTGGTAACAGGCTGATATCATGGCCCATGAGGGAGTTCCAGAGTACATGGCCAGTTCTTGCTGAACTGAAGGCTGTGGTGAAAACTTGCCCTTGAAGGTCACTCAAGCTATACAGCCCCACACTACAGCCTGGTATCATCTTTTTCCAGCTTAGGAGACCCTGGACAGGTCAACATCCACCTGGAGCCTCAGTTTCCCCCAAAGGACTGTTGCAGGTAGTATAACTCTCATAAAAGGCTTTTGTTGTTTGTTCTAAATGCAGGTGAAAAGGCCAAGCTTTAGGCCAGGGGAGCTTTCCTAAGGCTAACGCTGCTTGAGAGTGTTTTCTCATCAAACTTAGGGTTCTCTCTCTCTCTCTCTCTCTCTCTCTCTCTCTCTCTCTTCTTTCTTTGTCTGTCTCTCCTTTTCTGGGGCCCCTCTGAAATTCCCAAGCCTACCTCAAAGCCTCCTGAAATTCAGCCTCCAATTTTATTCTGCTCCAGGGAGCAGACCCTAGTCCCCAAGTTTTAGCAAATAAACCTGGCATAGGTCAGAGTCAACTATGGCAACTCAGCTTTACTCTTTAAAAATGGAGTCTGGGGACTGGAGAGATGACTCAGCAGTTGAGAACACTTGCTGTTCTTCCAGAGGACCTGGGTTTGATTCCCAGTACCCACATGGCAACTAACAACCATCCAAAACTCCATTTTCAGTGATCTGACATCTTCTTCTGGCCTCTTCGGGCTTTGCACAACACAGATGCACTTACATACCAGGAGGCAAAACACTCATACACAAAATAAAAACAACAAATAAAATATTTAAAAATGGAATCTGTGTGAGTTGTAGCCCAGCAATCTTTGGGGTAGCTTCTGTTCCACCCTGTTGTACTCTATGAGAAGAACTTTTTAAAGCTTCTGCGAATGAATTATAGCTTATGGTACGTGTCTTTCTGTGTCTGGATAAGTAAATTTAAAAAAGAAAAAGAAATTATGATTCACAAACCCCACCAGTACAGACTCCAGAATACTATCAGCTTAGAGAAAGGAAAGGGCACCCCCCACAGTTTCCTCAAAACACGTTGGGCCTCATCAATGTCACCTGTGTAAGAAACTGAATCTGGAAATGTTAACAGTATGTCGTGCTTCTGTTTTCCTGATCTAGAAGCTTCGCTGCTGGGGTACCAAGCATAAATCTAATCCGTAGAGCCTCCCAGAGGGGCAATTTGGGCAGAAGCAGAGAGGAGGTATCAAGTTTCTAAGCCTGGGCTTGGGTGGGTGCTAGGGGCAGCATGGATGGAGGACATTTGGGAGAAGAGGGGCATGCCCTGTCCCCTATTATGGTAGCCACACAAAGCCACACAGGGTTAGAATTCATACAAGTGTACACTGAAAGCAAAGGTCGCTTTTACTCAATATTACTTTGATATGGGTTTTCCTGATCTGGGAGTTTTTAAACTCAGGACAGTGTTTTACACCAAAGGGTATAAAACAAGAGCTCCTGCTCCCAAGAGTAGAGAAAAGTCCAAGAGAAACCGAAGAGAACACGGCTCTGGTGGGCCTGAAAAGCATCAGACACTACTCTCTCCCAAGACAGAAGTCAGCATAGAAGGGGGCTCTGGAAACCCTACAGATATGCAGGGTGGGGAACAGAGGATGCCTGTGCCCACATTTCTGCATAGAGTCAAGAGAGTGACCCAAGGAGAGATGAAGACCCAGAGGGCTCAGGTGGGTGCAGGCAGCTACGTTAACAGGCCCCCAAAGTCCTGCCTGAGGCCCACAGAGCTGAGGGACACAGACGATGCTGTGCGTCTGAGGAGGGGAGAATAAATGTAAGTCAGAGGGGCCTTCCAGCAGAAGGGAGGTCAGATGACATGTGATGTCCCTCTATTTCCAATCAAAAACAAAGACAAACTAACCTCCTCTGAGTGCCTTGATACATGTGAAGCCCTTGGAACAGAAATAAGACCTCAGAGGAAAATGAGGAAGTTTCTGTTTCTGAGAAAAATGGCACCAGACGGAGAAAGTGGTAGATAGGCTGCAAGAACATGTGGACAGCCATGTTACCACGTGAGACTCATACCAGCTCCCTAAGCCCTGAGGGATGGGTAATATCTTTCAGTCTTACTTGGGAGAAAACAGGTTACACAACTGAAGTGACTGCCCAGGGTCACAGCATATAGCTAGGGCCTGAGTCACCCAGTTTTCTACCATAACACATATCCAACCTCCTGACTTCAAAGGTTTCCATTAACTGAATACACAATCCAAAGTGTGGTAGATTTTGCAGAGCAAGAGCTACTCTCAGGCCAGACATGGAGCCTTACCTATGATCCCAGCCTTGGGAGTCTGACAGAATGATAACAAGCTCAAGGCCAGTCTATGAGCTACATAGTGAGTTCAAGGCAAGCTTGTGGTATATAGCACAGCCCTGTCTAAAAAAAGAATAAAGCAAAGTTACTCTGTGGTTCAAGACCTTGACATCGCCCAGATTCAATTTTTTCAATCTGTAGAATAGTCCCCAAAGGTCTAAGTGGTGGAGAAAAAAAGCTTCAAAGGATAGAGGGCAAGGGGAGCTACCAGGGCCATAGGATTCCTCAGGCCTGACAACACAGAAAGACTTTTCCAGAGCACAGAAGTGGGAAGCATGACAAGGAAATCAAGATGGTAAGCAAGTGTGGGGAAGGAATCTGCACATCTCCTACAGTGATCAGGACAAAGGCCGAGGATGTCTGTTTCTCTGATGTGCCACCCAATGCCTCAGTATAAAACTTTGTTCCCCACCTCGTGGGGCCATAAGACCATTGCCTGGGTAAGAGCCCAGTGAGTATGCTGCTGGCAGCTATTTCTTGTTACGAGTTGAGTTCTAACTGCTATGTCCTCTCTAGGTCACTTGTCCTTCCTGGGCCTCAGTTCCTTCCTCTGTAAAGTAGTAGCAGTGACTTTTATGTCTCAGGATCTTATGAGGATATAGAGGCACATGACTGTCATACATTAGGGGCTTGGAAAACAAAACACATGCCTGCTGCGTGGGGCGGGGAGAGAGGAGAGAGGAGAGAGAGAGAGAGAGAGAGAGAGAGAGAGAGATTGATTCAGAATTGACATTCAGGGTTGCTATAGTTTAACTCCTCACTGTGGAACAAGAGTTCACTATTTGGAGAAAAAAGAATGGGACGAAGGAAGAAGAGAGTGCAAAGGATAAGACCGAGGTTCCTAAATGGTCTGGCTGGACTGCCCTGTAATAGGGCACCTTCTTGACCATAGCTACGCCATGTTAAAGTTTAGGCTGACTCTAGTCTCTGAAATTATCAGGCAGCTGGCCCAGGGTATGGGAACACATGTCAGCTGGACCCTGGTTGTCTTGGGAACAGGTCAGACTGTTGTGGAGAGCACCTACTTAACTGCAGATTTATGGCTTCTATAGGTAATGCTTGGTTTGCTTCTGCAAAATAGTAATTGTTGCTTAATAGAATAGAAATTAAGGGGGCTTTGCACCTGTAAGCTTGGGAACTTCAACCTTTCACCCCTGGTTATGGTTTCTCTGTATAAAAGCTTACCCTAGAGATGGCTTGGGATTACACACTTGGTTCTGACACTCTGGTATAGTAGCCCTGGTCAGTGACAACTTTCATCTGGCAACACTTTGCCTGAGTGGTCTTCTCTGGTGAAGCACCTCACAATAGCCCCTTTTTAACACTGAAAATCTAATCTTCCTGCCACTTGTGACCGTGGGTCTCCAACCTCTGCCTTGTGCATGGAAGCATGAAGTCTTGAGTAACCTACCATCTCAAATTTTCTTGTTTAATTTGTGGACCCAACAGCTTAACTGACTCACCTGTTAATGTGACTGGCAATTATTTACTTTGGAGAGCCCTGAAAGATACCACCAGATTGTAGAATTTGGAATTATCTTGAAAACCATCATCCAATCTCAGGTTTCCTGATTCTTGTTCTATAAAAGCTGCCACCTCCTTGGCAGAAGCGAGTAGGAGAGGAGAGAAGACCAGGACAGCCACTGAGATCTCGAGACTCAGGTGAGACCTGTGCCTTCCTCTGTTCCACCTGCTGCCCTGGGTAGCAGGGAGGCCAGACCCCTCATGTGGGCAGGCTCTGACAGATTGTGCTGTCACTCACTGGGAACCTTGTAAGAGAAAAGGGATTGGCCACAGTCAGGTGCAAGGGACTGGCCATTCACTCAAATTTCCAAGAAATAGTCAATATAGCAAAGAATGCTCAATGTGACCTAAATGGAAACTCTAGGGATGAAATTTTAATTTATGGTTGCTAGTATGGGGTAGCTGATGGCTATGACTGTGTGGCCTTTAACATTACATGACTTATGAACCATCCTGGCCTGAACTCAGACCAAAGAATCATCCCTAAACAGACAGTGGCAGAGCATTTTAGCCTCTGCCATGTTGAAGCCTCATCATCTGCTTTGAAGGTAGGAATGAGGGCAAGCAGGTCAAGCCATCACAAGCAATCACATCTTTGCCCAGAGAGTAAATGTGACGGTCACTTAATCAAGTGGAGGCTTCAGGTCAGGCAGGCATAGTTTCAGAGCTTTTCTCAGATGTGACTTGTGACTTGGGGGGGAAATTGCCTGTTTCATTAGGCCTCTGCTCCAACCTACAATGACAGCCATGAGTTTCCACATTGTAGGATATAGTGAGGCTGAAGTTGGTTACTGAGTGTAAAACCATCATCCTGTGGCCTGGGACAGACAGCACTGTGACAGTGTGAACCATTATTTCTAGTTACCCCCTGGTGTTCTGGAGAGGACACACAAGACAGTCCTTCCACCTGGGGACAGGGCAGGCAGTGGGCAGATTCTTCTGATACCTGCCCCACAAAGAACTTGTCACTCTGTCCACAGATACCAAGAGAGATGTTTCTAATTGGGAGCCTTGTTGTCCTCTGTGGCCTGCTGGCCCAGACCACCGCCCAGGTGGCAGGCCTACCCTTGCCCCTGGGCCATGGCCTACCCTTGCCAGTGGGCCAGGGTCTGCCCTTGCCAGTGGACCAGGGCCTACCCTTTGCTGCGACACCAGCTCTGCCTTCGAATCCCACAGATCATCTTGCTGGAAGCTTCACAGGTGGTAAGTGAATATGTGACAGCCTCTCTCAGATGTATATACGTGTGTGTGTGTGTGTGTGTGTGTGTGTGTGTGTGTGTTTAAACATTTATGCTCTAGTATATCCAAATCACAGGAAGGGAAAGGCGAGTAAGGAAGAGGGTCTGAGTATTTAGAGTTGGCATATGTGACCCCGAGACCCTCTCTCATTGCAGCTCTTAGCAGTGGCCTGTTGTCTGGGGGCCTGCTTGGCATTCTTGAAAACCTTCCACTCTTGGACATCATGAAGTCTGCAGGAGGCAATTCTGAGGGCCTTGTTGGGGGCCTGCTTGGAAAACTGACTTCATCAATCCCTTTCCTGAACAGCATCATTGAGTGAGTTTCCCTCAAGCACTGTCCTGGTCTCCACCAGCAATTGAAGACCTGCCAGTCTCGGGCAGCAGCCCCACAGAGGGAGAGGGATGGGGTGACCATGGAACTGGGACTCAATTCTGAGACTCTTTCCAGTCAGACAGGGAACACTGACCCTTTCGCACCCATAATTTCTCCCAGGTTTAAAGCACATGCTGGGGCTCCAGAAGCATCTATTATCCCCATGACAACCCTCCATGTCAAATCCATAATCTCCAGTTCCCAGATGGGAAAACAGGGTTACAGAGATAGACCTGTGCTCACACAACTAGGGTGATACAGACTTACGAATCTATTTCTAAGTCGGAGAAGTCCAAGCCAAGGCCATTTCCACCCCACTGCAGTCCCTGGGTTCACTCCACTTGAGGAATGTGAGCCGTCACTAGGCTGCCCTCCTCAAGCGTATCACCAGTGTGACTAAGCAGTGTGGTGTCCATGGAAGATCTGGTGTGGTCCTTCCCTTGAAAACCCAAGAGCTTAGCAGGCACAAAGCCACAATGCAGAGCTTGATGCCAGTGAGCTGCCCAGGCCTGATTCCGTAGTAGGACTGGATCAAAGCCATTGCCAAGATCCCACCCACGGCTTTACCTGGTGACAGACAGACTTCAATTTGATTTCCATACGAACTATGAGCTGGATGACCTGAGACTCGGGTCGGATTCTTTATCTGTAAGATGGAAATTAAAGCACCCACAAAAAAATGCTGTGGGAAGACAAAGGAAGGTGTAATACTTGGCACTGTGAGGTCTCAGAAAAGGCTTTTCTCCCACCACTTCTGAATTTTCCCAACTTCCTGCCTCTCAGTCCCCATGATAAGTGTTGGGGACTGATCTGCACTTGAAGGTCTTGACAAGATGTATAATTTTCACCATAAACCTTGTGCAGGATTTATCCAGCTGCCCACATGTTATCCATTTCTTCCTGCACCAAACCATTCATCTATCTGTCCATCTTTCCTTCCTTTCATTGTTAACCATTCCCTCTTCTATCTACCCATATATCCCACTGACTACCCACTTTCCCACCAACACAGAGCCAGTCACTTTCTTTATAAGGCTCTGAGCTGGCATGCGTAGTTTCTTTTCTCGAATACCTCCTAGTCTTGAGATGAAGGGAGGACCTTGTATTTTATGATTTGACTCAGCAGTTGAAAAAGATGGGTGCTCAGAACCCAAGGTGGCTCTGGCTACAGGACTGCCATTCTGTGTTCCTCATCTCAGGTGTCCAGTTCTCCTTCTGAGATGGTTAAATTTGGGTTAAAGATGGTTTCCAGGGGCTGGAGAGATGGCTCAGTGGTTAAAAGCACTAGCTGCTCTTGTGGAGGACCCAGGTTTGATTCCCAGCACCCACATGGCAGCTAATAACTGTCCATAACTTCAGTTCCAGGGGATCAAATGAATACACTCTTCTGACCTCCGTGGGCATTGTACAACATGAGTGCACATGCAGGCAATACACTCATACACAGAAAATAAAATTAATAAATAAAATATTTTTTAAAAAAGATGGTTTCCAGGTTTGAGGCTTGAGAAGCTAATTTTTCTCCCCCCAATGGTGCTCCTTGAACAGCATAAAAATCACCGATCCTCAGCTGCTGGAACTTGGCCTTGTGCAGAGCCCTGACGGCCATCGCCTCTATGTCACCATCCCTCTGGGTTTGAAACTCAAAGTGAATACGTGAGTAGATCCCAAGGGGGTGGGTATAGCATGGCATGCAAAGGGAGAACTTGATGGCTATGGGTATGCCGAAAGCCTTGGGCTCCAGTCCGAACTTATTTGTTGTTATGTTGAGCAAACCTGGTTACGTAGGAAACTCACTTGACCTCTCTGAGCCTTGGTTTCCCTTACTTGGGAGATGAATACAGCTGTGAGCAAGGTGGAATGGGGTGAGACTGACATTGCTGTCAAGATGAGACCCTCTACTTTGGGAATGGCAGTAGGGGGCAGATGCCAGTAGGGCTGTTTCTTTTCTATGGCAGACCCCTAGCTGGCAGTCTGTTGGAGCTGGCTGTGAAGCTGAATATCACCGCAGAAGTCTTAACTGTGAGAGACAATCAGGGGAGGGTCCACCTGGTCCTCGGTGACTGCACCCACTCCCCCGGAAGCCTGAAAATCTCCCTGCTTAATGGGTGAGGACAAAGGGCTAGCTTCCCCCACTCAGAGAGAGCAGGGTGTAATGGTGGCCCAATGGGAGCACATCGAAAGGAAGATTTGTATGCGTACATGGATGGGTGGATAGATGGTTGATATTTGACAGGTGAAGGGAAGAATGTATAAACAGATGTCTGGACAGATGTATGAGTAAATGAATCGATAAATGCTCACTTATCTCTTGTTAGTCCAGTGTAATCAATTTTATGTTGGATTAGGCAATAAGAAATCGGAGTTTAAGCCCCACATATTACAGGGGTTGGGGAGAGACAGAGGGCTTCTAGTGTGATCTTGACTAGTGTTTCTTCAAATTGGTCTTGGTTTACTTACCTATATAAAACTACATTTCAGTTGTCTATAGAATCCTACTAAGGGGTAAAAGAGGTGTGAAACCTATTGGATTGCTTATTTCGGTTGTCTGTCACATGGGGAGAACCAGTCATACACAATACATAAGCACTGTCCATAGCACAGCTCACTCACATTTATTAAACACATATATCATGCTTTGCACGTATCATTTCACTGAGTCCTCATCATAGCTATACACTAAGCACTGCTCGTACATTCATGGTTTGACACAGTCTTGCTATGTACCTACCGTGTGCTTCCACTGTGCGTTCATCCTTCACTCATCTGTGTGTGTACTGTGTGTTGTGTGTAACTCTGTCTAAGCCCCTTTCTGTTCATCTGCTCTGGGTATGTGTGAGCAAGACTTGGTCTTAGTTACTGAGGATCAAGTCTGAGGGTGCACAGTGGTCCCTGAAAACTCCTCCAGACCAATTCTGAGCCTCTGTATCACATCCATGGCTTTTCTCTTCCAGGGTCACTCCCCTTCAAAGTGTATTAGACAACCTCACAGACATCTTGACTAAAGTCCTTCCTGACCTGGTACAGGGCAAGGTAAGAAAGTAGAAACAACAGTCCCCTGCTCCATGGATGTTAGATCTTCTCAGGCTGAAAGACAGCTCTGGGGTGAGCTAGGCCAAACAACAATGTATAAGAAGCAATTCCATCCATCATTCTCTCTGTCGTATGATCCTTCTGCCCATGTTTTTTCTTTCTCACCTCAAAGTACATTGGTTGGCTCCTTCCGGGCTATAGAATGTATCCCTTCCCTTGTTGGTCTATCTTGGGCATGCTGCCTCTGCTAGGATCTCTCTGCAAGAGACCCTGTGCCTAACTCCCCTCTCTGCCCTGGGTCAGGTGTGTCCTCTGGTCAATGGGATTCTCAGTCACTTGGATGTCACCCTGGTATATGACATTGCTGGTAAGTGCTGCTGCCAAGTCTCCTCCTCTTCTGCAGGAGCAGCAGTTTCTCCCAAGGAGTTTTGTCCCTGCTTACCATAGGACAGTTAGGTCCCATGAGCTTCCCCCCTCCCTGTTTTGAGTATCTTTGTTTCCATGAACGATTCAAATGATTTTGAGGTAAAGCCTCCTTCCCCCTCAGCCTGACCCTGAGAAAAGCTGGGCTGGCTGGAGGGGGCGGTCCAACTCTTCCCTACATGCCTGAGTATAGGAAGCATGGCCAGGGCTCCAAAGCCTCTGGAGGCATGTAGCTTCTTGTTGGACTCCTTTGCCTCTAAATCGTGACTCTAGCCTGGCTTTTGTTCTTGGTTTTGTTTTCTAGACTTACTGATCCGTGGACTACAATTTGTCATCAAGATCTAGGCCTCCCGGGAAGGGACACACCTTATCTGCGCTGGTCAGTATTGCTCCCCATTCTTCAGTATTTGGGAACTAGCTGCTATCCTTCTAGTAGAAGGAAGCAGGGATTTAGGGAGAATGTCATCAGTATCAGTCAGCTCTCTATCACTGTAACGAAATACTGAAGATAATGAACTTATAAAAAGGGTTTATTTTGGCTTATAGTATTGCAAATCTAGTCCATGACTATTTTTTCCCATTGCTTTGGGGCTATGGTGAGGCAGCATGTCATGTCGGAGGAAAACCTTTCACTCATTAGCTAAGGAGAAAAATAAGAGAATAAGGGGTAGACTACCCGAATTCCCTTCAAGGGCATGTCTCAATGATCTAAAGAACTCCCATTCCCCTAAAGACCACACTTCCCACAAATTACAATGTCTTCTAACAGAACCATTCTGGGGACCAAGGATTTAACACCTGGGTCTAAAGAGAGAGACAAACACCCACCAAGGCACATACAGGATGCACAGAAATGTCCACACAGGAGCTGACAGAGGTAGAGACACAAAAGTGCCTGAGAAGCACAGCTATAAAGAGAAACATAGGCAATAATGGACACAAACACACACACACACACACACACACACACACACACACACACACCCTAGCCAAACACATATATGATACAAGTTACAAGTTCTCATACCAGTATACTCATACATATGTACAAACATATACGGACTCATTAGAGTCAAGTCTTCATGGGTTCACACATATATTAAAACACATATACAAATAGCTAGGCTCCTTGGGGATGAGATCTTAACCTTGGGACTCAACCAGCTTCTATCTCTCAGAGGGCTGGTTTGATGATGGGACAGTACCAATAAGAGTCACTGACCTCAAGTCTCCCTCCTGACTGTACTCTTCTCCCAGCAGAACCATTTCTTGATGCTCAGTCCAACTTCTTCCTGCTCAGCTTCCCATGGTGGGCCCATGTCCTAGAAAATGACTTGGCTGCTTTCTCTCCCAGGAATCTGCTCCCTTCCTTTTCACCTGGCATGATTACTATCCCCGGTTCATCACTAAATAAAATCATTCTTCCACTGCACTGGTGTTTTATGTTCCTTCACTATCATTGGAGGCCTTGGAGGCTACAAAGAGACCTGGCTTGGAGGTCAGAGTCATATCCCAGAGCTGATCTTCATATCACAGGTCTGAGGGGTCTTGAACAGCTGAGGGCTGGGGTTATTGTTATTTATGTTTGTGTGTGTTATGCACATGTGAGTGGAGGTGGTCTTGGAGGACAGAAGAGGGAGTTGGACCACTTTGAGCTGGAGTTACAGGTGGTTGTGAGCTGCCTGGTGTGGGTGCTGGGAACCTAACTCAGCCATCTGCAAGAACAGCAAGTGACATTAACTGTACACCCATTCTTCCAGTCCCTGATGTCATTATTTTTGTTAAATTTTCTCTGTACCCTTAAGTACAAGCTGAATTATATTAAATACCACAAAGCCTCCTAAGTTTTCTAGAGGTGGGCGTGAGTGTGGAATAGATCATGAAACTAGAAAAAGGACTATCCTCAGGGTAGAACTGCCTCCCTCAGCAGAGAACAGCCAGCTAGGAAAACAGCTCCTGACATGCAGCAGCTGGCTCCTGGCAGGGAAGGAGCCACCGACCACAGAACACTAAGTGATTGTAAATCTAGAGCTGCCAGCTGTGAACTTGGTGCTAAAAACCCACCAAGTCATGAGACCAGCAGGTCTAATAGCAATCCATTGTCAGATGGAAGTGGTGTACCTCTCTAGTTTGGGCTCAATAAGGTCCAGAGGTCCTATGGAAGTC